TGCTGTTCACTTTTTTCTTCCTTCAGTGCTGCTGGCTGAGGCTGGTGTGCCAGGTGCTCCATACTCGCTGCTCCCTTTCTCTCTCCAGCCGGTGCTCTAACAGGTGAACTCTGTCTGGGAGGAAGTGCTGTCACTTCCTCCCAGCATCCCATACAACAGGGGTCCGGTTACAGTCTTAGACGGCTGCGGCGTCTTACCAGACCCCTGTTTAGCGATACTTCTCGGCCAAATCGCAGCGGAACACCAATTTTGTTCTCACGGAACCCTAGGGTTCCATGGAACACTAATTGTGAAACATTGCACTAGTGTGTATGTGTTCTATTAGCCATTATAAGTTTACTGTATCCTTAGTGTGTGTTTTTTTCCAGTTACATGGCCTTCCACAGCTTGGTTGTCTATGATACCAGAAAACAAAATAAATGTTGAAAAATCTAGGACTATCTAGAAAAGTCTACCAAGGCTTTTAATTGTAAAGGCCTGGATGTAGGAACACAACTATTATAAAGACTATACACCAGGATCTTAATAAGATAGGCCTGAAAGATGTATAAGGATATTATAAAAAGGGAACTTACAGGATATTCCCAGGGTCCAGTCCTCATGGCAAGTTTTGTCATTTATTATTCTTTATAATATTACTATAGTCAGAGATATTTTTACAAATACAGTTTTATTAACTTTGTCATCATCATCAACTATATATAAATATTTCAACATTTTACAACTTTTCTAGAATTTATGTTTGCCTTAATCCAAGGGTTGAAACATTGATGTATAGATTTATAAACACAATACCATGACCCTTGAGTATTGCGAACAGTTACTTGTTTTGTCTGTCTGACTGATCTCAGTTAGTAATGCTGTAAGCCAGAAAGTAATTTTATGAAAAGGCCAAGGCAGAAGCACAAGAGCTGTCACCATTAATAACGTGGTACTGTAAGAAATGCCCATTATTCTGAATATCTAGTACAACTTCATCATATTTGAATTGATGGCTTAAAAGAGGCTTGATAATAAAAAATAAAGCACCGTGTGTTTAAAGGTAAACCGTGCACTTACAGGGCTAGAGCGACCTCTTACACTGATGAACCCAAGTTATTGAACTTATTTCATCCCATATGATAACAAGGAAATTCACACTTTTGGTCTCCAAGTTATTGGAAATTAAAATCTACAATAAAATATTTTGTTGCTCCGTGTGCTAATGTCCCCAAAACAATAAATTTTGCAATCTTTTTTACCGGGCAAACTAATTCAAAATTCTTAAAGGTAACCGGGCAAACTAATTCAAAATTCTTAAAGGTACCTGGTAATGTATAAAAAGTATAAGCCGGATCTACTCTTAGTGTTTCTCCATTGAAAAATCTTCGGACAGCCTACCTTAGTGCACGAGGCAGACACTGTCTTCTCTGGAGAACCGGACAATCCTTTGGGACTTCAGGAGAACGAGCAGCTACAGGAGCTTTTTGCGTGGTCCTTAGTGATAAGTACCACATTTTAATTTTGTAAGAGTTCCTATTTTGGGGGGAGGGGATTTTCTTTTGTACTGGGGCAATAAATGTTAGAGTTACACCATATATTTTTGTCTCTCTTTGCCTTAAGGAATTTCCAGTACACTTTTGGGTCCTCATTTGCTACTATAAGAATTTGGACTTTCCCTCAAAGGAACTTATATGTAAATTGAACAGACTTTGGACTTTTTAGAGACATTTATACTGTTTTTATTGCTACAGTTTTTTAAGATACATTTTATATGTGTGCACCCTTGTTACATTTCAAGGGGATTATCTTCTAAGCGCTGACAATATCGATTAGCATATACAAAGAAATGATCAGTCTATAATTTTAATGGTAGGTGTATTTTAACAGTTAGAGACAGAATAACAAAAATAAAATCCAGAAAAACGCATGTCAAAAAAGTTACAAGTTATATAAGTTACTTACTTACTTACTTTATATGTATCTTATGGGTTAGTGGTGTTATCACTTTGTGTCTAGAGCACTTTATTGTTATACATGCAGTACTGTCCATTTGCTTGAATTTCTTTCACCATGTGGAAATTAACTGATCTCTGTTCATCTGACCATTCTTTGTTTTGTCTATATTGTGTTATGTTCACATTTTAGTTTGTAGTTATCACTTATTACCTATGCACTTCTTACCCTCAGCTCGGTTGGTTATTAACCCCTTAAGGACCAAACTTCTGGAATAAAAGGGAATCATGACATGTCACACATGTCATGTGTCCTTAAGGGGTTAAACCAAATTTATATCCTCCTCCCCCTGAATGCCTGTACGTGGCACCGAGATATAGTTCAACTATGAATACATGTCACAGACATTAACTTTAAGACAATTTTATTCATCCAGTACTCTTCCCTAGTACTCTTCCCTAGGTTAACTTCTTCTTACATTATGAAACCTGCGCAGTGTTCGCTCACAGTGAAGTTCGTACAGATCAATTTGTTTAGGTATAAGTAATGAGTTAACAACTAAAAACAAAAATTTCAGTTCAAAGAATATTCGCTAGATGTGTAAACTGACATGTATGTTCAATCTTACCTTTCACTACTGTGTATTATTGCTTATGGATTGAAACCAAAAATAAAGAATGCAAAAAATGTAAAATTAAAAAATAAAATCATATATGTATACAGTCTTATGCCAGGTGATAATGTAAAATAACTTGAATGGAAAAACGTACACAGATCAATGAAAAAATGCAATTGTCATGAAATCCTTATGGCCGTTTAAGTACAGTAATGTTGCAGGTTATGTTCAAAATACAATGCAATTCTAATATTTGATATCAGGACCAAGGGGGTCCAGGTTGTTTGCATTCTGCATGTCATGCTTTTGTAAGTCACATCCAAAAGTCAATGTCAATACACTGACTTTACATAGGGTTGCTATCTGGACAATGAGTGTTTTCTACATGTTGTAACCATGCTCCCAGTCCCACCAGGTCTACAAATTCTCAGAGAGGACTCAAAGCAGTGTAAGGTGTCTGAATCACATTTTTTGCCTATTCGGTATGCAATTGCAGTATGGACTACACCTTTCCTATACCTTAATCTGCCGCTTCTCACATTCCTGGTTATCTTTTGGTTTCTTCTCCACTACCAGCTCTCCTATACCTTTGGCCTGTCCAGTTTTCTCATTATCCTTTTTTGGCTCTCTTCTGTGGAGCCAATTCCACCTCTTTCTCTTGTGGAGTATTGGAGACTTGATTTTTATTTTTTTTTGTAAATATATTTTTATTATTTTCTTTTTTGTTGTTTGTATGCATAAAGAAAATTATTTACAGTGACTCGCAGGTCATTTTATATGGTAAAGCATATCATGATATACAGAGACTCGCAGGTCTCAATGTTCCAAATAGCAATTGCAATCTGTCGCTGGATACTTGATTTATCTTCATGCCTGCCTACCTGTATACGAACATCCGTTACCAGTCTTGACCCTAGACCTATTTGGACTTTGTATTTTGGTTTCTCCTTTGGACTGTTACACCTAAGACCAGTGTCCAGCAACAAATTATGCACAGATCCAAACACTGCATTGTTCTGATCCCAAAGTGTCTCTCAGTATATTTCGGGAATAGTCACTGGTGTCTGCAATCCATGAGTTGTAATTAGAGAGGACAGGCAAGCCAAGTAAAAATCCTTTGAAAGCAGCGTGAGCAAGTATAGCTACAACCATGAATATGGGCAGAGATGGATTAATTTAGGGGCTAATAGAGCTGCAGCTCCTCCAGGACCGTGCCCATGGAACAGACCTATTGTTCCTAAACCCTCCCCACCCCCACCCCCCCAAAAAAAATGTTCTTTCTTTAAAATGTTGTGCAGAGGGAATGGAGACTGGGAAGTTTGGAGGGATGCAGGGGAACAACACTTTTGTGGGATGGTACTGTGCAAGGAGAAGGTTATGTAGGCTGAAACACTCTTAGGACGTCAAGGCATTAGGGGGTTCTCTTCTAATCTTTGGGGCTGTAGTTGGTGTATAGGATTGTGTAGAGAAGTCAGTAGCATAGACACTACATGTGGAGGGTTGAGGTATTAGTATATAGTAACACATGCTTATAAGGTATCACATTTTGTATCACATTATCCTCCTAATAGTCTAGATCCCTTTTGGAGGACTTTGGATATATTTCAAATTCACATGAACTGTATTTTAAGCCTGTGATGAAATTGATATGTGTGTTTCCATGAGACACAGTTATTTTGGGTAATCCCTTATAGAAACAGTCTACATTAGTATGTTCTAAGAATTGATCATTTATTTTTAAAGACTACAAAAAGTAATCATTTATACAAGGAATGCCTTAATTGCAGATCTTTCTATTCTTTTCATCATTCTTTTCAGTTAACTTTTTTGGCATATTAAAGTTAGTTGTATGGGTTATTCTCAATACTGGAGAGGAGTAGGGTAGGTTCTTACTTTGTTCTTATTTAAATATACTACTACAATGTGACAGTGTGACGTGACTTCTTTCAGCTACATCCACCTCTATCTTTCCCAGGCTGTATACCAGGAGCAAACCTCTGCCTCGTAGTAAGAAGGGAAGGAGAGAAGTGGGCGAGTGAGTCCCGAGGAGAGGGAATTCAGAGTTTGTGATTAGTGACAGATTGGGGCTTGTAAGATGGACAGACAGACTGGGTTAAAAGGTTGAAAAGATAGACTGACATAAGGAACGTTTAGGCTTAAAATGCATTGTGCGAGTGTCCATCAAACACAACCTCTTCCAGATACAACAATATTGGGGGGAGGGATGACTGTTTTAGTGTTTTCTATAAATAAGACTATGTCATTAGAGCTTTAATAATCATCAGCACCAGGTCCAATGGGTTCTTAATCCAACAATGAATGTGGGGTGTCTACTCTCTTAAATCAAGAAACATGTAAAAACTGTGACCTCTTTCTTCTCTACCACCTGTATCCTATGCTCTATTACCAGCTATGAGCCCAGCTCTTCTCACACCTATTATTACCAGCTATGACCCCAGCTCTTCTCACACCTATTACCAGCTATGAGCCCAGCTCTTCTCACACCTATTACCAGCTACGACCCCAGCTCTTCTCACACCTATTACCAGCTATGACCCCAGCTCTTCTCACACCTATTACCAGCTACGACCCCAGCTCTTCTCACACCTATTACCAGCTACGACCCCAGCTCTTCTCACACCTATTACCAGCTACGACCCCAGCTCTTCTCACACCTATTATCAGCTACGACCCCAGCTCTTCTCACACCTATTACCAGCTACGACCCCAGCTCTTCTCACACCAATTATCAGCTACGACCCCAGCTCTTCTCACATTATCCTGATTATCAGCTACGACCCCAGCTCTTCTCACACCTATTACCAGCTCTTCTCACACCTATTACCAGCTATGACCCCAGCTCTTCTCACACCTATTACCAGCTACGACCCCAGCTCTTCTCACACCTATTATCAGCTACGACCCCAGCTCTTCTCACACCTATTACCAGCTACGACCCCAGCTCTTCTCACACCTATTATCAGCTACGACCCCAGCTCTTCTCACACCTATTATCAGCTACGACCCCAGCTCTTCTCACACCTATTACCAGCTACGACCCCAGCTCTTCTCACACCTATTACCAGCTACGACCCCAGCTCTTCTCACACCAATTACCAGCTATGAGCCCAGCTCTTCTCACACCTATTACCAGCTACGACCCCAGCTCTTCTCACACCTATTATCAGCTACGACCCCAGCTCTTCTCACACCTATTATCAGCTACGACCCCAGCTCTTCTCACACCTATTACCAGCTATGACCCCAGCTCTTTTCACACCTATTACCAGCTATGACCCCAGTTCTTCTCACACCTCCTTTGCATGTCTCACTGATCTATTCTACTGCCTGTGGTTCTCTGTCCCATGGACTGTTACATTTCATTAATGTGTACTTTATTTTCTATTCCCTGGTGCATTTCGTTCTCTACTTCCTCACAACCTCTGTCCCATGTTTTCTCTCAAATGTCCCATTCTCTGACTGCCATTGATTAACCCCTTGTCCTTTAACCTTTCAATTTTTATGTTTTATTTATTGTTTGAAAGTGCTATTTTAATACATGTTTATATTTCTTATCTTTTGGTCAGGGAGGTGGGAACACTATCCCAGCTTTCTGTATAGTTTGTGATCTGAACCTTCCTAAGGGGCTAGTGATGGCTAACCTTGACACTATAAATTGTTTCTGGACTACATTTCCCATCATGCTCAGCTAGCTTTCTAAAAGCTAGCTGTGCATTGTGGGAAATATAGTCCAGAAACAATTTATGGTGTCAAGGTTAGCCATCACTAGGCTAGTTTGTAGTTTCACAAGTGCTTATCTTTTATGTGTTACAAAGATGTCTACTTTATACCAGGAGGGGGCGCTCCATCCAGGAAATACAAAACATTTATTGTCATGTAATTGCTGTTGTTTAACAAACCTAGTTTTCTTCACTTGGTCAGATTTTCTGGATGAACTGCATGCAATTTGTTTAATGATTCAATTTCAAATTCATTACAGAATTGCTTTTATTTATCATTTATTAATTGTTAACAATGGTTTTAGGCCCAAAACAGCCAAAATAGAAAAGCATAAAAGTTTCTTCCAATGAAGCTTATTTTGACCTAAATTTCACATATCATTAGGTTTTCCGTTCACTAAGTCTAGATATTTGTAATTTTATCCTAGAAATTAATTCCACTTTTTCTTTTGTAAATATTAAGCAAAAATAATTTAGAATAAAAATGAACCTTTTTGATGCAAAGATTCAGGCAACAAATTAGAGATATCCTAACCCAAGTGGCCTACCTGTGCCTGGTGCCCGCGCTCCTCCTCAGGCCACGAATGTTCCACGTGGCCACGCAGCCTGAATAGGAATGTACTCACCTTCAGTCCTGCGAACAGCTCCCTCTGCTGGTTTGCAGGCCAAACTGCAGCACCTAATAATAAAAGTTATTGCCATGATATCATGCCTTAAAGGGACCGCGTCATATAGGCAACCCCATGCTGTTTAGAAACATAGAATGTGACGGCAGATAAGAACCATTTGGCCAATTTTTCTAAATACTTTCATTAGTCCCTGGCCTTATTTGTTTGGGGTCGCAGAGATGAAGTGGACCAACGGGAACTCATTTCAACCTATTTAAGGCCTGTTCTAGCTCTTACCCATTGCCATATTGTGGTTTCTGTCCTGATACATGTTAGTGCTAATAGTAAGTCTCTCTTGTTATATTCCTAATATTCACCTCGGCTTGATTTTGACTTGTGGTATCCTAGCCCGGCTTCATATTTGACTCGGGATTTTCTAGTATCCTGACCTGGGTTTGTACATGTTCTGTGTATTTCTGTATTTTTTACCTTGGATTACCCTGAGCTTGTTTTTCGCTATATTAATACCTTAAATCCGGCCACGACTCCCGTGACAATACCATAGAACTCTCTAGGCTTGTAGTGGCAAGTATTTTTTAGGCATATCTAGTAGCATAGGACTTGAAACTTTGAAATAAAGATTATATTACACTACAAAACATTCATCAGATTGATTTGGACCATTATGTAATCAGGTATTGTGCTACATGTAACCACTCCATTTAAAGTACCTAGTTTAGTGCATCAGTTGGTGGGACTTTTCCATATGAACATAACCTAACTCACCATCCAATCAGTACATCATACATTTCATTTCATTTTTTTTTTTTTTATGTGAAACTGTCTATTTTAAATTCTCAATAGAAAATGCTAACTTGCCTGGTGCTGCACATTCACACAGAGCACCCAAAGAATTCTCAGCAGAGGGTAAGTTGGGTTGAGCAGGAGTTGGTCATATAACAGAAGGCTCTGATTCAACATGTCTGCCCAGCCAGATAAAAATAAAAAAAAATCAATATGCATCATTAAAAATAAAGCAAAAAACATTAAGTTTCATTAAATGTAATAAACGTTTAAAAAAAAAAGTGAAAACTTGACAACAATTGCGCTTTGTTAATAAGATAACGTGAATTTTTTGCCTTGTACTACACAGTAACCTTTTTAGGGTACTGCAACGTCTATACAGATTTCAAGACACACTGCATAAAAAATGTGGAATATTTGATATCCAGGTCTATTGATGAGAACTATCAAAATTTCTTCAAAACATTCAACAACAAGGTCACGCATTTAGGCTAAAAGAAAGGAGATTTAGTCTAAGGCAAAGAAAATGTTTTTTTTTTGTTTTTTACAGTAAGAACTATAAGGATGTGGAATTCTACGCCTGAAGAGGTGGTTTTATCAGAGTCCATACAGATGTTTAACATAAGCATTCCGGCTCCTGGAAGGGCACAATCGTTAGAGTGTGCTATGCCGCCATAGCATCATTACGAGATTATCAAGTGGTTACTTCTTCAAGTCATAATGTCAGATGTTTATTTTAAATCTAACAAGCTTCAGCCAGAAACTCACTGAGGTGGAGGAGTAGCAGGAGTCCTAGCACGCATGTGCAGCACAGGATCCAGCTGATTCCCCTCACCGGAAGTGACAAGGGTAGGGGATTTTCACGGGTAGGGAAATTTGATAGAACACCGGCGGCATACAGGGCAAACCGCCGGGCTCCCTCCTGGTGTCAGTCTGCTTGCCCAAGTCCCCTGCGGCCCTGTATGTGTGGGAATCGCCCTGCGACCCACCAGTGGGTCGCGACCCACACTTTGGGAACCGCTGTGTTATACAGAATACTTTGCTAGATAGCGAGTTTACTGGATTATTTATGAAACATGAAAATTGTCAGCAATTCAAAATAAATTTCTCATTTAAGGCCTAAGTAGCCAAACCGGAAGTATAGCTGACGGAGAATTTTTCCAGTTTGGATAATTTGCCTTTAAATTGGAAATTCACTTTTAATTTCCCCAAAAATCATGTGAATAGCAGGTTATAAAGTTTTGGGTTACTGGCTAATGACTGGAAAATTGTTGATTATTCTCAGTTAATAGATTGGCATGTATCCCTATATTTCTAGTTGGCACTTTTCACCTACTAGCAGAAATTTGTACTAAAATTTGACACTGAACTTACCTTGAATGGAAGACTATTTACCACACAGAAGCAGTCAATTATTGGGACATTCACTCCATAAAGTTTCTTTGTTTTTTTGGTTTGTTTTTTTTTTACAAAAAATGCATATATATACAGTAAAGACACTATACTTCTTGTGTGGGAAAAAAAGTATCTCGCCCATTTTTAGTGTACACTGTATATATGCACGCCTGTATGTTGCATTTAAATTACATTTTAAAACAGCTCAAAATGTCCGGGCCTAAGGTAGAAGTGGGACATGGGTCCTGTAATAGAGAAATCAAGTAGGTAGAACGGAGCTTGAACTAAAATTATTATTAATCTAAAAAAACCTTCTAGGCGTTGCAATACACGAGATGACATCACTTTTGGTTAATCCTTTTTTTTAATTCCTTTTGCAAAATTATTTGGAACACAAGAACATTGAAAAGATTCTGAATGGATTCCCACAAATATTTTTTTTTCGGCTTTACAGAACAGTCACAAATAAGTCAAACCATTAATATATTCGTAGATATGTGTGTATACATGTATAAAAAAACAACAGCAAAAGAAAAAAAACTGTCACATTATAACACTGAGTTAACTATGTCAAAGGTCAGTCATCCACAGCTAATTTTTTTTTTTTGTGTTTTTTTCCTTTAACTCCACAACTGCCAAAGAGATACGTTGCTCAAAACAATGGCAGCCAAGTAGTTAAGTAGAAAATTCATTTGTAGGTGGGTTTTTCTTCCACCTTCTGTTTATAAAAATTGATCACATGCTTTTTTTTTTTTTAAATGTAGGTAGACGCTCAGGAATATCATAAGCTTGCACCGTTTCAGAGGGTTGCAGGCCCCACAGCCACAGAACAAGCTTCTATACCAAATCAGGAGAGGTGACAAAACAGAAATGTGTGACAAAATTCACCAAACCCCCAAAAATTATTTTCTGGGAGGGAAACAGAAATAATTTCTGGGGGCAACAGGACTGCGAAGACAAAAAACAATGCATTCATATGGGGCATACATTACAAAGGGGATTTTTTTTTCGTTTTTGTCTTAAATATCATTTTTTTTGTTCAGACTATGAATCAACGCTAAAGGTTACCAGACATGAAATCACTTGACATGAGTTTCTCTGAAGGTGAATAAAAGGAAGAGCTCATTTTTTGGGTGGATGAAAGGGGGGAGGGTAATTTCACACACCTCTCAGGGAACGATTAGGGCATGAGGAGAAAGGGATAATATCTTTATTATAGCTATGTTTGTGCTGCTGATGCTGCTGGTGGAGGGGTCCAGTATACAGGGATGTTATGCTTCTGGTTCATACTCCTGATAATCATCCTGAAAAACAAGAACGCCAGACTGTGTGAAAGTGTTAAAAACAACAGTAGACGTGCAGTCATCATGCCGAATATCAATATACACACATATCCCAGGAAGTTGGACCATTCATGTAACCAGGAAATGAGAGGAAAAAAGAAGTGGTGGAAAGATGGGTAAAAAGGTGTGGGATAGAAAAGGCCACAAGTGACATATGAAATCATTCTCCCCAAGTGTCCCAATTTAGGAGGGTACAAATCCCTCTGTTTTGGATACAAATCCCTGTGTCCCTCGTTTCTATCCTAATGTTCCAATTTTATAGGAGCTCAGGATACTTGGTACTTCTGAATTCATTTCAGAGCCCCACGGCAGTAATACTCACAGTAATGGTCTTTAATCTATCAGAAATGTGTTTAGAAATCAGTCTGTGTAAAAAAAAAAAAAAGATATTGTTCTTATTGTAAAT